AGGTGATGCTACCCCAGAGATTGTTCAAGAAGGAAAAGGGAACAGGCTTTGAACTCTAACTTCTAAGAGATGGCAGAGAAAGGGAGAATGGTGGGTGTGGGTGCCGCCTGCCCCCAAAGGGACACTGAGAAGTGGCCCAAGAGGTGGCAGTGATGCCAGAAGCAGGTGTTTGAGGAGAGAGGTCTGGGCAGGTGGTGGCAGCTGGAGGTGAGCGACCTCCTTGCCTGTGAGAGCAGCTGCAGGGCAAAGAATGCATTCTGCTGGGACAGGAGAGGCTGGAACCCACAGGGTTGGGGAGCAGGCCTGGTTTTTGCGTAATTCTTTTTTTAAGTTGTAGTGAAATAATAAAATTTGCCATTCTAACCATTTTTTAAATGTACAATTCAGAGGTATTAGGTCCATTCAGTGTTGTACAGCTATCACCCCATCTACTCTAGAGCTTTTTTTTTTTTTTTGAGACGGAGTCTCGCTCTGTCACCCAGCCTGGAGTCCAGTGGCGCGACCTTGGTTCACTGCAAGCTCCGCCTCCCGGGTTTACGCCATTCTCCTGCCTCAGCCTTCTTTCTGCTCACTGCTCGGGCCTCGTGATCCGGCCGTCTCGGCCTCCCAAAGTGCTGGGATTACAGGCTTGAGCCACCGCGCCTGGCCAACTCTAGAACTTCTATATCACCCCATAGGGAAACTACCCATTAGACAGTAACTCCCCATTCTCCCCAACTGCAGCCCTTGGCAGCCCCCATCCCACTTTCTCTATGAATTTGCCTATTGTAGGGACCTCGCAGAAGTGGAATCAGTTTGTCCTCCTGTGTCTGGTGTATTTCACTCAGCATAATGTCCTCAAGGTCCATCTGTGTTGCAGCATGTGTCAGAATTTCACTCTTTTTAAAGGCTGAGTCGTACCCCTGGTGTGGATACACCACATTTTCTTCATCCATTCATCTGTGGCCGGACACTTGGGTGGTTTCCACCCTTTGGATGTTGTGAATGTGGGTGTGCAAGTGTCTGTCTTGAGTCCCTGCTTTCAGTTCTGGGCATAACCTAGGGCTAGAATTGCCGGATCATGTGGTAGTCTGACTCTGTTGCCCAGGTTGGAGTGCAGTAGCGCGATCTTGACTCACTGAAACCTCTGCCTCTCGGATTCAAGCAATTCTCCTGCCTCAGCCTCTCGAGTAGCTGGCACCCACCTCCACACCCGGCCAATTTTTTTGTATTTTTTAGTAGATGCGGGGTTTCACTATGTTGCCCAGGCTGGTTTTGAACTCCTGAGCTCAGGCAGTGTACCCGCCTCGGCCTCCCAAAGTGATAGGGTTACAGGCGGGAGCCACCACACCCAGCCTCGTATGGTAACTTCTGTATTTAACTTTTTGAGGAATCACTAAACTGTTTCTACTGCAGCTGTAACATTTTACATTCACACTAGCAACACACAAGGGTTCCAGTTTCTTCACCTCCTTACCAGCACTCCTTTTCATTTTTTTGATAAAAGCCACCCTAATGGGTGTGAAGTGGTACCTTAGTTTGCATTTCTGTAATTTAGTGATGTGGAGCACCTTTTCATGTGCTGCCTGACCATTCGTGTATCCTCTATTGGAGAATGGCTGAGTCCTTTGCACATTTTAAAAAATTTTTTAAAACTTGTGGTAAATTGACCGGGCGCAGTGGCTCACACCTGTAGTCCCAGCACTTTGGGAGGCTGAGGCAGGTGGATCACAATGTCAGGAGATGGAGACCATGCTGGCTAACATAGTGAAACCCCGTCCCTACTAAAAAATACAAAAAAATTAGCCAGGCGTAGTGGCAGGCGCCTGTAGTCCCAGCTACTCGGGAGGCTGAGGCAGGAGAATGGCGTCAACCCGGGAGGTGGAGCTTGCAGTGAGTTGAGATCACGCCACTGTACTCCAGACTGGGCAACAGAGCGAGACTCTGTCTGGAAAAAAAAAAAAAAAAAAATTGTGGTAAATAATGCTTGTAATCCCAGCACCTTGGGAGGCCAAGGCAGGTGGATCATGAGGTCAGGAGTTCGAGACCAGCCTGACCAACATGGTGAAACCCCATCTATACTAAAAATACAAAAATATTAGCCGGACGTGGTGGCACGTGCCTGTAATCTCAGGAGGCTGAGGCAGGAGAATTGCTTGAAACCAGGAGGTGGAGGTTACAGTGGGCCAAGATTGCCCCACTGCACTATAGCCTGGGCAACGGTGAGACTCAGTCTCCAAAAAAAAAAAAAAGTGGTAAAATACACCTAAAATTTACTTTTTTTGTTGTTGTTTTTTGGTAAAGACGGGGTCTTGCATTGTTGCCTAGGCTGAGCTCAAACTTCTGGCTTGAAGCCAATCCTCCTGTCCCGGCCTCCCAAAGTGCTGGCATGACAGGTGTGACATTTTACTGTTGTGAATGATGCTCTTCTCAACACCTGTGTACAAACATCTGCGACTCTGCCTCCAATTCTTTTGGGTATATGCCCTGCAGTGGAATTGCTAGATCATATGGTAATTCTTTTTTTTTTTTGGAGATGGAGTTTTGCTTTTGTTGCCCAGGCTGGAGTGCAGTGGCACGATCTCGGCCCACTGCAACCTCTGCCTTCCAGTTTCAAGCGATTCTCCTGTGTTAGCCTCCTGAGTAGCTGGGATTACAGGCGCCTGCCACCACACTTGGCTAGTTTTTGTATTTTTAGTAGAGATGGGGTGTCACCATGTTGGCCAGGCTGGTGTCGAACTCCCGACCTTGTGATCTGCCCACCTCAGCCTCCCAAAGTGCTGGGATTACAGGCGTGAGCCACCACACCTGGCCAGTAATTCTATTTTTAAATGTTGGCGGAACCTCCATGCTATTTTGCATAGCAGCTGCACCATTTTGCATTTCTATCACAGGGCACAAGGGCTCCAGTTTCTCTGTATCCTCACCGGCACTGTCTTTAAAAATTTAATTTTACAGTAGCCACTCCAGTGGGTTTGAGATGTGTCTCACTGTGTGGTCTCCCTCATGACTAGTGATACTGAGCTCTTTTTCATGTGCTGCTGGCCATTTGTCTATAATTGGAGAAATGTCTGTTCAAATCCTTTACCCATTCTTGAGTCAAGTTTGGTTTTTTTGTTGTTGAGTTTTAGAAGTTCTCTGTGTATTCTGGATATCACTTCTTTATCAAATACATGATTTACAAATATTAAGAGTTTTATAGTTTTAGTTCTTACATTTAAGTCTTTGATCCATTTTATTTTTGTAAATTGTGTGAGGTTAGGGTCCACCTTCCTTCTTTCGCATGTAGATATACAGGCTTGGTTTCTGATATCCACTTACTGTCTTGATTGGCAGAAATTTCAGCAGATTTCAAGGAGCCGCCGTCCCTGCCAGGGAAGGAGAAGCCATCCCCGAAGACAGCCTGTGGGTCCCCCCTGGCAGCACAGCCATCACCCTCTGCTGAGCTCCCCCAGGCTGCCCCACCTCCGCCGGGCTCACCCTCCCTCCCTGGGCGCCTGGAGGACTTCCTGGAGAGCAGCACGGGGCTGCCCCTGCTGACCAGTGGGCATGAGGGGCCAGAGCCCCTTTCCCTCATTGATGACCTCCATAGCCAGATGCTGAGCAGCACTGCCATCCTGGACCACCCCCCGTCACCCATGGACACCTCGGAATTGCACTTTGCTCCTGAGCCCAGCAGCACCATGGGCCTGGACCTGGCTGATGGCCACCTGGACAGCATGGACTGGCTGGAGCTGTCGTCAGGTGGTCCTGTGCTGAGCCTGGCCCCGCTCAGCACCACAGCCCCCAGCCTCTTCTCCACAGACTTCCTTGATGGCCATGATTTGCAGCTGCACTGGGATTCCTGCTTGTAGCTCTCTGGCTTGAGACTGGGGTGGGGACGGGGCTGGGAGCCAGGGCACTCCGGTGCGTGGCGCTCCGGTGCGTGGCTCTCCTGCGTGATTCGGCCTCTCCACATGGTTGTGAGTCTTGACAATCACAGCCCCTGCTTTTTCCCTTCCCTGGGAGGCCAGAACAGAGAAGCCCCTACTCCTGGTTCGGGCCCACCCAGGGCAGAGGAGAGCAGCTGTCAAGAAGCAGCCCTGGCTCTCACGCTGGGGTTTTGGATACCCAGTCAGGCCAGGGCCATTTCAGCTTGACCTCCTTTTTTGAGGTCAGGGGCACTGTCTGGCTACAATTTGGCTAAGGTAGGTGAAGCCCAGCCAAAGCCCAGCCAGCAGGCTTCTCCTCTGACCCAGGGCTGAGACATGTCTGTCAGGGGGTGAATCTCCTTTTTGCTCCCTGCTTTGCTGTGAAGGGATAAATTAGCCTGGGCCTCTACCCCCTAGTCCCCATGTCTGCCAACCCCAGGGCTTCCTGGGATGGGGCTCCCTGCCATTTTAGTGTCTTGGTGTAGTGTAACCATTTAGTGGTTGGTGGCAACAATTTTCTGTACAGGTGTATATACCTCTATATTATATATCGACATACATATAGACATATATTTTTGGGGGGGGGGAACAGGAGATGGGTGCAACTCCCTCCCATCCTGCTCTCACAGAAGGGCCTGGAAGGCCATGGCTCCTAGGGACTGGATGCAAGATTACCCTTGAGCTGTGTGCCACCGTCTGGTGCCCAGTCTGGCATGCAGCTACCCAGGCCCACCCATCACGTGTGATTGACATGTAGACACCCTGCCACGGCCTGTGCCCCACCTGCCCTGCTTCCTGGTTCCTTATCAGTGCCACGAGGGCAGAGGTGCTACCTGGCCTTCCTGCCAGGAGCTCTCCACCCACTCACATTCCGTCCCTGCCGCCTCACTGCAGCCAGTGTGACCCTAGGACCGGAGGGAATTGGGCCCAGCTTCACCCTGCTGTGGGGCTGAGAGATGGCCATGAGGTTGTGGCTGTCTCCTGCTCTGGGGCCACTGGCTTCACACTCTGGCCTGACTCATAGGGGAGTAGGGGTGGAGTCACCAAAACCAGTGCTGGGACAAAGATGGGGAAGGTGTGTGAACTTTTTAAAATAAAAACAAAAACACAGGCCTGTTAGTGCATCTTAATCCATGGAAGGGGTGGGTGGCATAGGTGGGGGTCCTGGGCCTGTTGTGTCCCAGCATCTGAGGGGCCAGGCAGTGCCTTCTAGACCAGTCAAGGAAGGGCAGAGCCTTGGACATGAAGACAGCTCTGCAGCCCTGGCTGTACAGAAGACAGGAGGTACGTTCTCAAAGACAGTTTATTTATAAACCAAGGAGGACAGGAGCCTATTAGTCACCCCCATCCCCTTCCCTCTTCCTGAGCAAAGACTGGCACAGACATGGCTCCCCACCGCCTCACAAGGCTTTTGGTACAAACTGGTTTGGCCCAGAGCATCTCTAAGGACCCTGGTAGGGCAGGGCACCCTCTGCTGCCATCACCTGGGATGTGCTGGGGAACCTGGAGTGGGGCAGCCTGATATCCCGGGGCCCCGGCCAGGGCTCTGGAGCTGCTCTTCCCTGGGCTCTGCAGCTTGGGGTCCTGGGCCACCTCAGACCCAGGCCCAAGGCTGGGCTGGGGAGGAGGGGTCACCCATCCACATCCCAGCTGAAGAGATGGTGCTTCACCAGCATGTCCCGGACGCCCTCCTTCAGGGGCTGCTGCGCCTGCAAACAGGGCAGCCCCTCACCTCACAGGCCTTGGGCGTGGCTGGGGTGGTTCCTAACCACTGACACCAGCACTCTGTGTCCCCACCTCAGCCACCCTGTGAACGGTTTGGGCAGCTCCATCAGCACAGGCCTTACAAGGCCCACACCACCCACCTCTCTCTTGGCAGGGAGTTCCCAGTCCTGGGAGAGGCTGAAGGCAAAGCAGCAGAGGACTCTAGAGGTGAGGAGGGTGTTGGTGACGCTCTTGTCACCCCCAGCCAGCCCTTCCTGACCCACCGCCATTCCCCGAACCCAGCAAGGTCCTCACCGGAGCTCACACTTGATCTGGACCCAGCCCGGGCTGCGCAGGAAGGACCAGGGCTGGTACCACTTCTCCACGGTGGGCAGGCTGGAGCAGAGCACCTCCAGCCACAGGTGCAGCACCTGCTCACTGGGGACACGGCCAGGAGTGGGGAGCAGGGGCGGCTCCAGGCCCTTCTGGCTGCAGCCATGGTAGAGGCCTCCAGCCTGTCCCTCAGCAGCTCCCAGACCACCCTCTTCAGGGAAGGACCTGAGCCCCTGAGGTTCTTTGTCCTTTAGGGTCCCCTGTAAGGACCCTCCTGATGCTGGGCTGGGTCCCCCCTACTCCAGCGTTCTCCTCCAACCCCTTTTCCACACTCACTTGAGCCCCACGCAGATCAGTGAGCGGAGCTTCACGTCCATTTGTGCGTGCACTGCATCATGGCTCACGTTCACGGACTGCACAGCCTGGGGACAGCACCATCCGCTGTCACTCAGGCTCCCCCACGGGCTAACCTCGAGAGGTCTATAGGGTCTGCCAGAGGAGGCCCCTTACCCGGTAGAGCAGCTCCTCTGGGGTCAGGACCTTGCCATCTTCGTCCAACCTGAGGGGGCACCAAAGCTCCTGGGGTGCCGGGGCTGGGTCAAACCCCGCCCTCCCACTGCAGGCGACTCCACCAGAGGAACCCAGGCCCAGTTACCTGAAGGTCTTACAGAGCACCAGGCGGGAATACACGGAGGCAAAATCTCTCTCGACCTCCCGGCCTGCAGCCTGTGGGAACAGCACACGGTGTGAGTGTAGGGACAGGAAGATGCTGGTTCAAAGCCCTTGGGGCCAACTGGGCACCTGTTACTGCCCTGCCAGCTCTTCCCATCCTCTCCGTGGGGCCCAGGGACAGGAAGGGCCTAAGATGGGTACTGGGGGGCACAGCAGGGCTGGTGCAGGGTGGGAGACATGGGCCAGCCACTGACTTACCTCCTCTATAAACAGCCAGGGGTGGCAGGCGCCCCCAAGCAGGGATGGCTTCTTCAGTCCATGTTCGAACAGGGCCTTAAGGGCCGGGCAGAGAGTCCCTCGCACGAGGTCTGTGACCCCCTCCGTCACTGAGTCGTCCCCCGCGATGGAATACTGATGGGAGGGATGGGTCTGAGAAAGCCCTGCCTGACACCTGCAGCCAGTTGCCCTCCTCTGTCCTCTCTGCCATGCTACAGGCCAGGACTCACTGGGGACACAGGCCCTGGCTAGGAGGATGCCAGCCGTGCCTAGCCCGCCCACCCCCTCACCTCTTTGCTGCGCTCATCCAGGACTTCCACAAACTTGGCTGGAAACCAGCCTGTGGGAAAAATAGCCCTGTGAGGAGCAGCCACAGCTCAGGCGGTCAGGGGGAAGCTGGCCCAGGTGCTTCAGGGACCTCAAGCCAGGCAGGGGTAGAGAGAACGGCCTGGCAGCGGCCAGGGTCACTGAAGTCTTCTGTGCCCACCCCCTCCTCCCTCTCCCAGCTCAAGAGCAGACCAAGGCCCCCACCTCGCAGGCCGTTGAGCTCCCCCACCCAGCAGTGCTCGTCCTTCTGAGACACGATCTGCACAGGAGGAAAAACAGTAGGAACCAAAGCTGGGTGCCTGGGGCCAGCGCCGCCTGCACCCCCGATATGACTGCTCAGCAGCTAGGCCAGGCCAAGACCCCTACATCTTCACAAGAGCAGTTCTTGGCAGGGAAAGGGGTTGGAGGGAGGCTGGGGAACCCGCCCCAGCCTGAGGACCTGTATAGTCCAGCGCCCCCACGCACTGTGATGATGTCGTTCTTGCGGAAGCCCAGCTCGTCGTCGTCGTGCCGCTCGAAGTCCAGCAGGGCCTTGGCTCGGCGCCGGTGGCCGCGTGAACATGCCACGTAGTTCTCGTGGTCCCGCTGGTGGCTCTCCATGCTGTAGTCTGGAGTCAGCTCCTGCCACAGTGAACACAGGCCCACCAAGGGGGTTGGAGGAGTTAGGGCCATGTTTGGTACCAGCCCGGGGAGCTGGCCACTCACCACGCTGCAGTTTTTGGGGTCTGCGCACTGGAAGTGACGCGCCACGCGCAGGATGGCTTCCCGGAGGTCAGCCACCAGTTCCGTCTGCTTGATGTTCTTGGCCTTGAGTGCCTCCAGGTCATCCTCCCCTAGGAGGCCCAGAGAGCAATGGTGACCACGGCTCACTCCAGGCCCCCGAGGAAGCTCCACATCCACGTGAGCGTGAGGACAGACTGTCCCATGCCCACACTGCCTGGCACCCGCAGAGCTCTCACCGAAGAGCAGAGCAGTGATGGTGGACTTCCTCCGCTGGGTCCTGCGGCGAACAACCTGCACCATGAGGAGGGGGTCAGGGCGGTCCTGGCCCCCGGAAGAGAACCCACCAGCCCTTGGCTTATGCTCTCTCATCTAAAATGGCCTCTGATGCCGGCTCTGAGAGTTGAAAACAGATAATCAGTTCAGAGCTGGGTCTGCCTTCCTCCCAAACTGTGCCAGGGTCAGAACCTGAGACGCATGAAGCCCAAGGTGCCCTGGGTCACCCCACAGCTGTGGTCTGACTGGGCCAGGCTGGGGTGCAGAGCAGGAAGGGCTGGTTTGTTTCCCATAGCCCCCGCACTTGCTCTGAACTTCAAGGTGACCCGTTCCCCACATGCTGTGGGCCAAGTCAGGGCCCCCCATCCTGGGTCACCTGAGAGAGGTTGGTGAGGGTGCCGGTCCCCAGGAGCTGACCCTGGTCTGCAATGAGATAGGCCAGGTGCTTGCGGCGCTGAGTCTCCACAGCCACGTCGGTGAGGGAGCCGGCCAGCCGCATGGCCACCCCCAGAAGCAGCTCTGCGTCCTCCATCTGCGACGGGATATCCGATAGCGTGTTGAAGATGGAGGCTGAGTTCTCTGACTGGATCAGCTCTTCTTCCTGGGCCATGTCAGACCAGGATGCAGGCAGAAGGTTGTTACTGCAGGAACCTGGCACTGAGCTGACCCCAACCCCCATCCTCAGGGACCCGTTTGCCTTGGCACGGTTGTCAGGGGCCGGGGGACTGGTCTTGCCTGGCCCAGGGAGGTCTCTCACTCCCTGCCCCCCATCTCGGGCTCCTACTCCTCAGCCTGAAGTGGGGCCCTGGAGCACCTTGAGGTGCAGCATGCCCAGCGTGAGCTGGAACAGCACCCGGGAGCCCTCATAGAAAAACAGGTCCCAGATGCGCAGAAGCAGCTTGATGTCCACCACGCTGGCGAAGGCCGTGAGGAACCAGTGCAGTGTGATCAGGGACAGCTCTGTAAACACAGGAGCCGAAGCTGCTGGGGAGGAGGTGGAGGAAACCTCCATCCCCAGAACTGGAGGGAGGTCCTCCCTGCCCGAGAACAAAAGAGCGACAAAGACCAGAGTTGGGGGCTATGCCCCATCCCCCCTTGGCCATCCGCCTGAGGCCTCCAAGCTGCAGAATGGGAGCCACTGGCTCAGAGGCCCCTTACCGATGTCATGCTCCTGGAGCAGCTTGTCCAGGCGAGGCAGGTACTGGACAATGAGGTGGCGCAGGACCCGCTGGTCAGTCTGGACGCCCAGCAGGGTGGTGCTGAAGTAGGAGGCGGGGAGCAGGTCCTCGATGATGGCGCACATCATCCAGAAGGTGTCCTCCTCCTCCAGGAACAGCAGGAGGCAGGCAGCCACCTGGCCAGGGCATGGGGATAAGGGCCCTCTACCCAGGTCTTTGTGCACATTAGAAAAGGTGCCCCTACCCTAGGGAGACCATTTAGCAAAAGCCTCTTGGGGGGCACGCATGCTGGAACACAGGCCTCCCCCGGCTGCTTTCCTTGGCCGGCCTCAGTTTCACACCTTTTGGGGGGCCCCTCTGCTTGAATAACGTGCAGCTGCCCTGATCTCCTTGGGGACTCCCCTGTCCCCCCACCTCCCCTCCTGCTGCCCCAGAGCGGGAGACCATTCCTTGTTAGGGGTCCTGGAGGAGGCCCTGGGGCTGTCACTGCCCTTGCCGGGGCTGTGCTCACCATACCAGTGCCCTGGCAGTAGCCGATCTCTGGGTAGAGCCAGGCCAGGGCCCGGAGCACCCTGCGCAGGCGGGGCACCCCGATGCTGCCCATGCTGGCGAAGCAGGCGTTGCTGGGCATGGTGCGCAGCAGGTCCTTCTCAATCTGTCCGGCAGCCATTGGCACCCACAACAATAAGACCTTGTGACACCCTGGGAGGGAGGCAGACCCCAGGCGGGCTTCTCCCCCAGGAATGGGGATTCCTTGTGTTCCTGGTCAAGGTCACCCTCCTCCCTTCAGGGTCAGCTCCCAGCCAGTGTGGAGCTGGGACATCAAATCCACCTGGGAAGCTTCATGCCAGACAGAGTGAATGAGAACGTGTGGCCCAAGGCCTGGAGTCTATATTTAGTTTCCATCTGTTCCTAAAGTGGACCCGGGCTTGGGAACCCCATCTCCAAACACCAATGGCCTTTTGGACAATTCTTTCTGTGGCCTACAGAGGACCCAGGAAGAAGCATGTATCCTCTCCCCCACCCCCCAACAAGGGCACACTCCCAGAGCCCCAGGCAGCCTCCCTCTCTCCTGCCAGCCTCACCTGCTTGGCAGCAAGGGTCTCATCATTGGAGCTGTTCTTCACAATCTCGCGGTAGGACAGCTCGGAGTTCCTCTTCTTCTGCAGGGCCCCAGAGAGCCGCATCCATAGCTGAGGGAAGGGAGTCGCAAGGGCACTCAGTCTTTCTCATGACACCTAATCATGGGGCCAAGACCCTCTCAAAACCCTGTGGGTCCCTGTGGCCACTTTACCTGTGGCCTCATGCCATGTGGGATGCCGGCCAGCACCAGGGAACGGAGCTTCTCAGAGCGGGGCAGAGAGACTGCAATCTTGTCCCAGGTGAGATCCCCCACGTCGTGGTTATGGGTGAACTCCAGGTGGGCCTGCCACCGCAGCCTCTGTGGAGCATCCTCCAGCAGCGGGGAGCTCGCCAGCAGACTAGAGCCAGGCTCACCACCTTCTGCCAAGAGACAGCCGAGGGACGCCGCAGTGAGCAGAGGAGGAAGAAAAAAGCATTCTCTACTACGTGTTCTGCAAGCAGCCAGGCCTCTGTCTTCAGGAGGGTCTCAGCTTCATGGCTCTAGGCCAGCGCTCTCCCGCCACATCCAGATTCCCACAGCTAATGGCTTTCTGACAGCTCCAGGTGATCATCTAACCTGCACCTATGATGAGCAAAGCTCTTCACTGTCTCCTCAAAGCCACTCCTACCACAGTACTACCCAGATCCAGAAATGACACCTCCATTCTCCCGATGCTCAGCCTAAACCTTGGAGTCACCTCTGGCTCCTCCCTCGCCCAGACTCCACACTCAGTCCTTTAGCAAACCCACGGCCCTTGTCCAAGCCATCGTCCTTCATCCAGATTGCTGCACTGGCCCTCCCACTGACCTCCCTGTTGCTACCCTCACCTCCCAAAGGCCGTTCTCCTCAGCAGCCACAGCAACCCTTCCAAAATGCAAGTCAGATCATGTCACACTGCTCAGAGCTGAGACTCAAAGGCAAGGGCTTTCCAGGGCTCCCTCAGCTGCTTCCTCTGGGCCATGCCCACTCTGTCCTCATCCCCTACCATTTTCCTCTTGCTCCCTCCCCTCCAATGACATGGTCTGAAAGGGCCACTTCAGGGCCTTTGCACCTCTCCTTCCCCAGCTCTGCCCATTCCCTGGCTTCCTTATATATGATTTACTGCCCCTCTTCCCTGAAGTATTTTCCCAGCCCTTCTTGCTCCAGCATATTACATGCTTGTTTACGGCCTGTCTCCCTCTCTAAAATGAGAACTCCATGCAGTCGAGACCACCTTCACTTTTGTTTAAGGGCCTGGGGTGCAGCTGTGGAGACTACAGCACCCGCAGTTGGGTTCATGAGATATTTGTTGAATGAATGAGGTGAAGCTCTCCTGTGGCAGCCCAGCAATCTCTGGGTGAGCTCCATAGACAGCCTCGTCCTTATTCACCCTAAAGCCAATCCCTCAAGCCCAGCTTTCAAAAACACCAACTTTAATGACTTCACCTACAGTAAAATGCACAAATGTTAGGTGTACATTTTGGTGTATAAACAAATGTCTAAGCAGTCTCAGTTCCATGGTGTAACAGTGAACACTCTGACCCCAGTGACCCAGCCAAACAGATACTTCATCATACCAGCAAGTTCCCTGTGTCCCTCTCAAACCAAACCTTTACCCTGCAACTACCTGCCTACAGATCAGAAGAACAGGGAAAACCCTTGTCAGAATTGGAAACGTGAGTGACCTGAAGGTGATCAGTTGCAGTCAATTAAAATGTCCTAGCCACAGGTCTGGCCTGGCATCCAGTTGTCTTGGCAGATGGCCTTCCCAATAGCCCACTCAGGACCAAAATGCCCATTTATAGTAGAAAACAACAGAAAAGGATTGAGACTCAGTTATAGAAAAGTGGTTATCCAAATACTGTAAGTTCATTATGATATTATACAGCCACTGAAAATACTCTTTTTTCTTTTCTGAGACAAAGTTTCGCTCTTGTTGCCCAGGCTGGAGCGCAATGGCATGATCCCTGCTCACTGCAACCTCCACCTCCTGGGTTCAAGCGATTCTCCTGCCTCAGCCTCCCGAGTAGCTGGGATTACAGGTGTGTACCATCACACCTGGCAAATTTTGTATTTTTAGTAGAGACCGGGTTTCACCATGTTAGCCAGGCTGGTCTTGAACTCCTGGCCTCAAGTGATCCACCCACCTCAGCCTCCCAAAGTGCTGGGATTACAGGCATGAGCCACCACGTCCAGCCTGAATTTTTCAACTTCTCTACAGTGAACACTATTGCTTTTACTATCAGGTGAGGTTCAGTAAAATTTATCTCAAAAAAACAGAGGTTTCCCATACTTATAACAGTATCACCCTCAGATACACTCTGTCCTTAAATCTGGAACTGTGATGCATCAGAGCTCAGCCGTCACATCTGAGTAATTCCAGTCAAGGCAGCGGAGTCCTCCCCAAAGAACATCAGCAACATGACCCACAAAAGGGGCTCAATGTTACCTTCCTTGTACACACGGAAACCAAACTCATCGTAGTAGAAATCTGGTTGCTCTGCTGACTCTTCCTTCTAGAATCAGGATGAGATTGAAGTCAGTTGTCTGTACCCTAGCTGGAGGCCTCAGGTCTGAAAGATGCCACCCACAGGGTTGCCTGCTAAAATCCCACCCAGCCTTCAAGCTCAGATCAAAGGCTACTCTTCCAAAAGCCTTCTCTGGTTACCAATCTCCTCTGAACCTTCTAGCTTCCTTGTTCTTCTCAGAGGTCAAAGATAATAAAAATCAAGGCAAGAAACATGTTTTATGCATTTGTGTCCCTATAATACCGACAGCATACTGTCACAGTGATTGACTCACACAGGCACATGGAGCTAAGATACTATCTCTGGTGGGGACCCCATAACCCTGTGTGAGTTGGCCACCTCTTCCTGGGCAGCCTGCAGACCTGGGTCCCCTTCATACCGCAGTGTGGGAGCACAGCAGGCTGGTGCCTGGCTAACTGCTGTACCTGTGTATACTTGGCCAGGATCTCCTGGGGCCATATGCTCGGAGTCAGGGCTGAGAAAGGGCCACAGGCAGAAGGTGTATGGCTTCCTAAAACCAAAGAGGACCAGGAGAACAATCAAGAAAATGCAGAGGCAGGCCAGGCGCAGTGGCTCACGCCTGTAATCTCAGCACTTTGGGAGGCCGAGGTGGGCGGATCACCTGAGGTCAGGAGTTTGAGACCAGCCTAGCCAACATGGTGAAACCCATCTCTACTAAAAATACAAAATTAGCTGGGCATGGTGGCACATGCCTGTAATCCCAGCTACTTGGGAGGCTGAGGCAGGAGAATTGCTTGAACCCAGGAGGCGGAGGTTGCAGTGAGCAGGGATCATGCCATTGCGCTCCAGCCTGGGCAACAAGAGCGAAACTCTGTCTAAAAAAAAGGAAAAAAGAAAATGCAGAGGCAAAATTCAAGTCAGGAAATACGCTCTCCCTGTAAGAACACCAGCATTAAAGGGACTAGCCCATCTCAAGCGTTATGGGGCGGGAAGGAGCAGAATGAAAGAAACCTCCTAGAGATCAGCAAATTTCTGGAGAAGAGGGGGAAGAAACAGCAGCACGTTACAAAACATGACCAAACTTCATCTTCCAGCCTCTTTCTCCACCTGAGGAGTGCAGATCTGCAGGCTGCAGGGCCGGAGGAGGAGAGCTGGAGAGCGGAGCTGAGAAGGAAGTTTTAATAACTTTCTCAGCCAGCCAGAAGCCTTCCCTACCATCTCCACCTCTCTTATCTGGATGGTGTTTTATGGAAAACAAACAAGCCAGCTTCCACCCCTCTGGCTCCTCTGTGAGAGCTTCACATCCCGTTTCCAAGTCCGGCCCCTGCTTCTACCTGACATCGTGCTGTGGGGCTGGCAAGTCTTCTGTAGCTCCGGGCTCGGAAGTCTCCTATCCTGCTATCTCAGAGCTGGAAGGCGCCTCAGGCTTCATCTGGTCCAGAATCATCTGCCCTGTTGGAAGAGTAAAGAGGAAAGTCATTCTATTTTTATTTATTTATTTATTTTAGACAGAGTCTCGCTCGGTCACCCAGGCTGGAGTGCAGTAGTGTGATCTCGGCTCACTGCAACCTCTGCCTCCTGGGTTCAAGAGATTCTTCTGCTTCAGCCTCCCGAGTAGCTGAGACTACAGGGGTGCGCAACCACACCAGGTGATTTTTGTATTTTTAGTAGAGATGGGGTTTCACTACATTGGCCAGGCTGGTCTTGAACTCTTGACCTTGTGATCCCCCCACCTCGGCCTCCCAAAGTGTTGGGTTATAGGCGTGAGCCACCACACCCAGCCTGAGGAAAGCCATTCTAAAACACCCTCTCTCCTACAAAGAGGAGCCCTTTCCACCCACACTCTGATTTTGCTAGCCTGGAGGCAGTGGGAACTGAAGTCTTAGCCATTGTTTAACAAGGGAAGGGAAAAAAAATCACTTTGCCCATTTTTATTTTTGTTTATTATTTTTTGAGACGGGTCTCGCTCTGTGGCCCAGGCTTGAGTGCAGTGGATCTTGGCTCACTGCAGCCTCCACCTCCCGGGCTCAAGCGATCCTCCCACGTAGCTGAGACTACAGGCATGCACCACCATGCCTGGCTAATTGTTGTATTTTTTTGTAGAGATAGGTTTTCGCCATGCTGCCCAAGCTGGTCTCGAACTCCTGGGCTCAAGCAATCAATCTGCCTGCCCTGGCCTCCCAAAGTGCTGGGATTACAGGTGTGAGCCACCATTCCCAGCAGCTATTTGTCTTTTTTTCTTTTTTGAGACAGGGTCTCACCCAGGTTGCAGTGCAGGGGCACAATCACAGCTCACTGCAGCCTTGACCTCCTAAGCTCATGGGATCCTCCCATCTTAGCCTCCCAAGTATCTGGGACTGTAGGCACATGCCACCACGCCCGGCTAATTTTTGTATTTCTTGTGGAGATAGAGTTTCACCATGTTTCCCAGGCTGGTCTCAAACTCCTAAGCTCAACAGATCCACCTGCTTCAGCCTACCAAAGTGCTGGGTTTACGAGCATGAGCCACCGCACCCAGTCAAGCCTTTTACTTGTGACCACAGAATGAAAGGCTCTCACTATGAAAGGAAGTAGAGGTAACAATGAGGAGATGTGGCTGAAAGATTTCAAGACAAGTTACATTCCAGTTTTTGAAATCATATTTACCTAAACCTGGCACTGAAAAAAAATTTACTTTTGCCATTTTTCAGACAACGAGAGTTCAGAAATGACAGTTGTTAATCCTGGTCCATAGCAGAACCTATTCTCCATGCTATCTGCCATGGAATTCTGGTGTTGGGAATTCTAGTAAATCGCGAAGAATTGGGTAAGTGAGAAGCAAAAAAGAGGAAAATCAAACCATCACTTCAAAGGAGCTATGAGAAAATCCCAGTTCTCTTTAAAGACATACAAGTATGGGGACAAAAGTAGCTCCTGTGGGCAGCCCAGCTGTGGTCCCAGCCTCTGCTCCTGCCCCAGACAAACACTGGCCAAGTTTAGGATAAAGGCCAAAGCAGAACATTCCTGAACATTCCTGACCATTATAGAGGTTTGGTGCCCAGTGGGAGAGGCGCTCCCTCCTGCTTCCAGACACGCCGCTGAGAGCCAGATGGCAGAACCTGCTTCCCCAACAGGCCGGCCATCCTGGCTGGTTGGTTCTGTGTGAAGAGAATAGAATTTTAATGTCTTTCTTCAGTGTAAAATATATGTGATACAGGGTTTACCTCAAAACTATGAGCTGGATGGAGGATTACATATTTTTACATTAAAGAGACTGAGCTACAAGTTTTAAAAAGCATGTCATGTTATCATTATATCCTTACAACACATTTATTCCTTATACAAGAGAAAATAAGCCTAGAAGAGACTGATAGTTTCCAAATGGACTCCCAAAAACTCTGCCCTGCCACAGCATGCAACCCCACCTTGTGAAATGATGGACACATGGCCACCAGCTAGATGGCCCTGGGAATGGAACCCAGTGCTCTATTATGCCTCCCGCTGGCTTGGAGCCTGAGATGGCATATGGCTGTGGCAGAACCACCACGTGTCCGCCTTGGGAGGCAGTGGGCTCAGCACTCATTCTCTGCACCATGATTAAAAATAAAGACATCTCAGCTGGACGTGGTGGCTCATGCCTGTAATCCCAGCACTTTGGGAGGCCGAGGTGGGTGGATCACCTGAGGTCGGGAGATTGAGAACATCCTCGCCAACATGGTGAAACCCTGTCTCTACTAAAAACACAAAAATTAGCTGGGCGTGGTGGCGGGTGCCTGTAATCCCCGCTACTTGGGAGGCTGAGGCAGGAGAATTGCTTGAACCTGGGAGGCAGAGGTTGCAGTGAGTCGAGACGGTACCACCACATTCCAGCCTGGGTGACAGAGACTCTGTCTCAAAAGAGAATCGGATGATAAACATAGAAATAGACTGTGATAACTACAGTGCTGTGAGGAAAAATAAAGCAAGGTCAAGATGTGGCGAGTCTCAGAAGAGAGGGGATTTATATCAAGTGGTCAGGAGCAGCCTTTAGGAATAAGGGTTAGGGACACCTAAGCAAAGACCAAAAGGAACTGAGGGCTCATGGCTACCTGAGGGAAAGGAGATCCAGGGGGAAGCACCAAGTTGGGAGCACACTGGGCACGTTAAAACAGCTGCAAGGCAGCCATCAGGCTGGAGGGGCTGGGGAATGAGGAGGAAACAGTGGGAGGAAACAGCCTGAACGGTGGGAGGAGATGCAGCAGGGGGCTACCAGGCCTCACAGTGTGGTGGAGATTCTGGGCTTCATGCTCAGTGAGCTGGGAAAGTAGGGGAGGGCTCTGAGCTCTCTCTGGCTGCCTTGCAGAGGAGGTGGTGGACATAGAGGAGGCTGTTGGATTAGTCAGAGTGAAAGGTATGTTGACTTTCCTGTGGTGGGAACACTGAGAAATGGTCACATTATGGATATATTTTATCTTATTTATTTTGTTAGAGACAAGGTTCCTCTATGTTGCCCGGCTGGTCTTGAATTCCTGAGCTTAAGTGATCCTCCTGCCTCGGCCTCCCAAAGTGCTGTGATTACAGGCGTGAGCCACCACACCAGGCCAGATTCTGGATAGAAAGAGTCTGCAGGGTTTAGCTCTTTAATGCCACACACACATATAAATGTATGTAATGTATATATAAACATGCCACTTCTCCCACTGGCTACAGAACCCGGCCGGATGTGCACTGTGAAGCTGGGTGGGCAGGTTTTTCCTGCCTCTGGTCGCTATGGAAACCTTCCTGAAAGCAGCCATCTGGGAGTTGGCAGGAGCAGCCCAGAGAGTCAGCCACGTCAGGGTGGCTGCCCTCCTGTTGTCACAGGAGTACTGAGAGGCAGAAACTTGAAAAACAGGATTGATTTAGGTACCTTTGAGGAGCTCTGGAAGGAATTTTTCAAAATTAAATGTACATACTCCCTAGTTTGCTAATCCTACAATTTCCTATAAGGCAAATTTTGTTTAGAAAGCACAGAAGGCCAGATCTCACTATAAACCCTGTTTTCCCACATCTGTGGGGAGGGGCAGAAAAGGTTCTGTTCATTTCCTGTGGTCTCTTCACATAGATCAGAGGGATATGGTCCCCCATTCTCTCTGCTCCTACTACCCTGTCCGGTGTCCTATTTTCTTCACAACACAGCACGGTCGCTACCACTACACAGATGATTTTCTACAGACATTTACCACGGAACATGAAAGCTGTAAGCAACATAAGCAAAAATACTTCTAAGAGGCCTCTGAGACGCTGAAGACTGCATTTGCTCTGTGAGGAGGGAAGAGGACACTGGAAGCTGTCAATAAAAACTCACCTAGACAGAGAAGCACAAAGTCGGGAAAGTCCAAGAAAGGCTGGAGTAAAAAAAGATTAATGTGGCTACTATAGATGCTAAGAAAGGATAAAATCAGACAATAAATGCTCAAAGAAACATGAACATTTTTTGGAAAAGGAAAAAATATATGAATAGCTTTTTCAAGGTAAGGGTACAAAATAATTGGTTTTCTTCCTGGTTTTTCTCCTTGACTTCTATTCTTCAGCACACCTCTAAAACGTATGTGGGCTCCAATTTGGCCGCTACGTGGGCAGACAGCTTGTAGAGAGACAAGAGTGGATGCTGGGAGGCAAGAGTGGTGTGCAGGGGAAAGATTATGGAGAATGAGTCCAAAGTGACAGTGGAGACAAAGAGAAGTAATAGCTTCAAGACACAATCAGAGGCAGAATCAACAGGCCTTGCCACACAGTTGGATGTGGGGAGAACGGGAGTGACCACAGGCAAGGCCTAGGTTTCCGGTCTGAACTCCTGGGCTTCTAATGATGCCATTTCCTAATATGAGAGAAATGGGAACAAAACAGGTTTGGGGAGGGGGGAAGTTAAGAGTCATGGGGCAGGGGCTGGGCATAGTGGCTCACGCCTGTAATCCCAGCAGTGTGGGAGGCCGAGGTAGGCGGATCACCTGAGGTCAGGCGTTCGAGACCAACCTGGCCAACATGGTGAAACCCCGTCTCCACTAAAAATACAAAAATTAGCCAGGCATGGTCACAGGCACCTGTAATCCCAGCTACTTGGGAGGCTGAGGCAGGAAAATCGCTTCAGCCCGGGAGGTGGGGGTTGTAGTGAGCTGAGATTGTGCCACTGCACTCCAGCCTGGGTGACAGAGTGAGACCCTGTCTAAAAAAAAAAAAGTTACGGGGTAATTTAAATGCTCATTTAGAAATTCAAGTGGAGCTGTTAAGTAGGTGATTGCATCTATATATCTATGTTTACAGGGAGATGTCAGAGGTAGAAATGTAAATCTGGGAGTTTTTCATTCATCTATCCAACCAACAAAAAAATTTTTTTGCAACTACTGTGTACCAAACACTGTTCCATGTGTTAGAGATATAGCAGTAAAACAAGATGGACAAAGTTCCTGCTTTCACGAACCTGCAATTTCTTCATCTGTAAAATGGAAATAATA